TGTGTGTGTGTGTGTGTGTGTGTGTGTGTGTGTGTGTGTGTGAGCTGGTCCGGTTCAGTGGGTCAAAATATTATAGCCCGACCCAGGCTCCTTAATGGGTTGGTCCGGTTAGTGTTTCGTGGGTCATGGGCCGGTTAAAGGGTTATTCTAATGGGTTATGTGGGCTGGTTGGTGGATCGACCCGGCCCATTTGACAAGTCTAATTGCAATTTAGGAATTAAACTCTTAATCTCTCACCTCTTACAATAATTCTATTGTAAACTCTTTGTAATAACTCTATTACAAAGCCGCACACTTGACTAACGCTTGTCAAACAACCAAAAGCAATAACGGTTAAATAATGTCCTACTAAATGCTTCTAGAAAACTGTGTAGGAATACAAGTAAGCAACAAAAGACAAAGACACAACAAACTACATGACTCAAGACATATTCAATGTTGGGATCTAGTCCTTACTTTGTAGCAGCTTTGCTCTTCAATGTACTTGAGGAAGCAGAGGCGGCTACACACTTAAAGGAATATATGTTTTTTTTTGTATTTGCAAGTGTTAGGTCAAAATCTTGTATCATGTTGTTTATATATGTGAGATCATGACAGTATATACAAGGGCATTTCCGGTTTCTTGCAAATTGCAGCTGCGTTGTTGTACTGTTGCAAGTACAATGCAGCAGTTTTAACAACTGTAGAGTTGACTTTCGTGATGACCTGAGGACCTGATCCTATCTGTTCCCTTTGCAACTCCTCTGATCCGGTTTCCTTGAGAATTAAACCAGACAACAGATTATGTTGCAATGAGCACAAGGGAACCGATTGTATCAAGTTCCTATCTGGTTCTTCCATGAAGTTTGACAAATCATCAAAATCATACTCGCATTACTTATCACTAAGGTTATGAGAAAATGTGCAGGGCCTTTTCTCTCTCAAAATGATTGGCTTAAAGGGCAGTCCCATGCACTAAGCTCCTGCTATGCGCGGGATCCGAGGAACACCGGATCACAAGGATCTTTTGTACGTAACTTTACCCTGCATTTCTGCAAGAGGCTGTTTCCATGGCTTGAACCTGTGACCTCCTAGGTCAAGTGACAGTAACTTTACCAGTTACGCCAAAGCTCCCCTTCAAAATAATTGGCCTAATAAGTAAAAACACCAAATGATTGCCAGTCAGTATGAAGGCAATTCCATGTGCTATTGTCTAAAAGAAGCTAATTAAAAGGAGGATTTTTAGAATTCAATGTGTTGTCACAGTTCATATGTGTTGACTCTTAATGGTGTTCCTGACAATGTGTCCAGATAATGGTTTATTTGCATCAACATCAGAGTTATGAGCTTACTAGAATTGCACATGCATTATATAATTTTGGCTTTGCCACCAGCATCTTTAAGACCGAGCTTACTGGAATCTGCGGCTTCATTTTAAATCTAGATTGATCAAGTATGAGATTTCACTGCAGCTAAAGGTGAACATTTTTATTATTTAACTTCATGTGAGCCTTGGCGTAACTGGTAAAGCTGATTCCATTTCCATGTGACCAGGAGGTCACAGATTCGAGCTGTGGAAATAGTCTCTTGTAGAAATGCAGCGTAAGACTGCGTACCAAAGACCCTTGGACTCCACGCATAGCGGGAGTTTAGTACACCTGGCTGCCCTAACTTCATTTGATGTCATTCCTGACTTGGGTGGGAATGATTATACGCCTGTTAGTTTTGATCCACAATGTTGACTTACTGGCATAAAAGATAATTTTCATGTAAATTATACCAGTCCAAGATGAGAATGCTATAAGTTCTCAATCATCAAATTGAAAAAACTGATATCTATAAATCTGGTTAAATTTCAGATAAAGCTCTATCAATATGTAATACACTTTTTCCAATTGCCTACTTTTCAACTGCTATACAATCTATTTTTAGCTGTCATTTACTAAAGAAAATGATTATGACTTAATAAACAAGAAGCTGCTGGTTTCGCCATTCTTGGAGCAAAGAAGAAGTTGAACAACAATATGAAGTAACTGATAGGAGCAATGCTTTGTGAAGATCTTCAGCAACTGCACCTTTCTTGATTAGTGAAATGATGTAATCCAGAAATGCTGAATCACATGGTAATGTAATAGGGCCTCCACTTGGCAACCCGAACTCTTCTTCAGACATGTTTAAAAGTTGTACAATGACCTCATTCTCCAGGTAAGCCAATGGAATCACATAGCGCCTTTGATCGGTTGTATAAACTACAAACTGGCCTTTTACGGCTGTAAAGGATGAAGATGTACTACAACTGTCTGTATCATTGCCATTTCTTGGAAGTGAAATCCTCTTCCTTTGAGTGGCTGCAAACTGCTGCCATTTCCTGGCCATTTTGATGAGTTTCTTAGCGTTGAGCATTGTTCTTTTCTCTAGAAGATTGGGAACAAGAAAGTAAAGAAGAAATATAGAGACCTTTGGAAGCTGAGTAGATAATGCTTGTGGTTGATGCTGAAAAGGATCATGGAAGGGGGATTTATTTGAGTTGGAGTTGATATATTTGCCACTAATAACAGAAGGCAAAGCCATGTGCTGATGCCTGTTGGCCAAGTTGATATGGGGGCCTTACATTTGTGGATAAAGCTAGTTTGAAATGTATAGAAGATGATCCCTTCCTTCCTCTCTTCACATTGGTCGACAACAGAATGTGGAAGTTTTAATTACTTGGGATATCAACTCATATGTGCCAATAGTTTTTGAGATAGATTATGTTTTGCTGATGAAAGGCAAAACCATGTGTTGCTGCCTGCTTGGTCATGTATATAGGAAACCTTTAAATTGTAACAAATGAAAATTGTGCAATAAAAACCACCACACTGAAGTTCTAGAGGGCAAAGAAGGATTAGTTTTTGTTCTGTTTTACATTTCTTTTGCCAACATCACTTCAGACTTATAGCCTGTTTGGCCAAGCTTCTAAAATCAGTTTATTTTGAGAAATGCTTTTCTTAAAAGTCTTTTTTTTAAAAGTGCTTTTAGTGAGAAACAGTTTGTGTTTGACTAATTAATTTAAAAAGTACTTTTGAGCAGTAATTAGTGTTTGGCCAAGCTTTTGAGAACTGCTTCTAAGAGCCCGTTTGGCCAAGCTGCCAAAATCTGCTTATTTTGAAAAGTACTTTTTTTCAGAAGTACTTTTTCCAAAAGTACTTTTGGAAAAAAATAGTTTGTGTTTGGCCAATTTATTAAGAAGTACTTTTTGCAACATTTGGTAAACAAATTGTGTTTGGCCAATCTTTCTAAAAAGTACTTTTGAGTGTCAAATTACCAAAAAGGATAGTACTAAGGTCTTATAATTCTTTTAAAGAGAAAAATGAACTCAAATATTTATCGTAAGAGACTATTATTTTTATTTTATTTAATTAAAATATAAAACATAACGTAAACAAACATATTAAAGATTTAAATCAATTTTACACATATAGTTATACCAAAGCATATATTATTATCTAGTATAATTACTTATTGTTACATGATGATTTGAATCGTCAAAATACATCATTCAGTATGAACTAGAAGTCTATTTCACAAATTACTATATATTGATAATCTACCATGAAATAATAAGTAAAGTCACTCACACATGATATTATTTCTCAACAATTTCATCTTTATGTCTATCACACAACGCCTCCGTATTAGTAGAAGGCTTGCCTTGCATTTCTAAAGGAATATCAGAAGGTCCATCTCCTTCCTCAATCTTTGCAGTAGTGCCTTCATTAGCATAATAATTGAATTCTTTATCGGTAGAACAATGCCGCCGGATGAAATTATGTATAGCCATGGTAATTGTAACTAGATGATTCTGAGTGTCAAACTTGAAAGATGGCATTGAACGTAAAATAGAAATAATTTTAAATATATAAAAATAATTTTTTATAAAAAAATAGTTAAGTATGTTTAAATTCAAATTAAAAAAGAGTAACTAATTATTAACAACACATAATCTATAATTTTTTTCTTAAATTTAAATTCAACAAGAAACTAATTAGTATTACCTAACCTTACTAACTTTGTCCTAAATTGCCAAGTGGCCTATTGTCAGGCTGCCACTTGGCTTAATGTGTGATGCTTTTTCTTCTTCTTTTAGTAATATATAGATAGATTATGCGATGGAATTGTAAATTTATTATCTATTTGTAGGTAATTTTCACAAATTTGATTTGATAACTGTTTTAAAGATTCGAGAACTAATAGCATATAGCAGAAGAAATTATAAATGATTATTTGTAGGAAGAGATTTGATAATCCAAAGAAGGATATAGATGATTTGCTTTAGTGTCAAAAAAGAAGAAGATAATTTGGAAGTTACAAAACATAACACAAAGAACAAATCAAAAACAAGAAAAGTCAATAAAGAATTTGGAAAGTTACAATATGATTCATGTATATCATATCTTTAATTTTAAAAGAACGGTAAAATCTAGAAACAAAAATGAAAATAAAAAACTTAAACTAGTAAGGGATAATTTGGAAAATATAAATTTATGGCGAGGATAGTTTTGTCTTGAATAAATTAATTTTTCACTTCTGCTTCTGCTTCTTGGAAGAAGCTAGAATTTTCTGCTTTTTCCCAAAAGCAGAAAAACTGCTTCTGCTGCTGGCCAAAAGTACTTCTCTGTATTGGCCAAACAACTTAAATTTTTTTAAAAGTACTTTTTTGAAGGAAAAAAGTACTTTTGGCCTCCCAGAAGCTTGGCCAAACAGGCTCTAAGTGTATTTTTCTCAAAAGTGCTTTTGGAGAGAAGCTACTTTTTTCTGCTTCTCAAAAACTGCTTCTGCTTCTCCTCAAAAATACTTTTTTTTCCTTCCACAAGCTTGGCCAAACACCTCATCAAGTGGTCCAAAAAAAAAAACTTGACTGTAAAAACGGCTTAATGCAGCTTTTAACATTACCTTCTTTTTAACTAGTCATATTCATTTAATTGTGAAATCCAAAAGCTGGATATGCTAAGTGCACAACCTATATGAATGACCTATTACTAGAAATTAGAATCCAAGTGGTGATGAGGTAAGTATGCTACAGAGTGAACCATTGAGATTTGTTATTACATTCCAAAGGATTACATTCTTGTTATCTGTTGCTCTCTTTTCGTTCTAGATTGATTAAGTATGAGATTTAATGCCATGGAAGGGGTAAACTTTTATGATTACACTTCATTTTGAACTCTTTAAAGTTAATTTTCACGTCATTAAGACTTGCCTGTGCTTAATTCATTTATCTGTAAGTTTTGATCGACAAAGTTGATTATTCGGATAGTGACAGCCCAAGATGAGATCAAACTAGAAGCTGTCAATCATCAAATTGAAAATTGGTAGGTACTAATCAGGATTCAGGTCAAAATTCAGATAAAGTTGTATTCCATCTGTAATACACAATTTCAATTGCCTACACTATACAATCTGTTTTGATCTATCAGACTAATAAACAAGGAGCTGCTGGTTTCCCCATTCTTGGTGCAAAGAAGCTGAACAACAACATGAATTAACTGAGAGGAGCAATGCTTTATGAAGATCTTCAGCAGCTGCACCTTTCTTGATTAGTGAAATGATGTATTCCATGAAGACTGAATCACATGGTAATGTAATAGGGCCTCCACTTGGCATGCCAAACTCTTCTTCAGACATGTTTAAAAGTTGCAAAATGACCTCATTTTCCAGGTAAGCCAATGGAATGACAAAGCGCCTTTGATCAGCTGTATACACTACAAACTGGCCTTTTCCGGCTGTAAACGATGAAGATGTACTACAATCATTGCCATTTCTTGGAAGTGAAATCCTCTTCCTCTGCATACGCGCAAACTTCTGCCATCTCCTGGCCATCTTGATGAGTTTCTTAGCACTTAACATTGTTATTTTCTCTGGAGGACTGGAAACAAGAAAGTAAAGTAGATATCTAGAGACCTTTGGCAGCTAAAGTGATAATGACTGCAGTTGATGATGAAAAGGTTCATGGAATGGGGACTATTTATATAAGAGACTGGAGCTGAAGTGTTTACCGCTAACCACCGAAGGCAAAGCCACGTGCTGATGCCTGTTGGCCATGTCGATATGGGACCTAAAATTTGTAGATGAAGCTAGTTTGACTGCATGAAAAATGTTATGTTTCTTCCTTTCTGGAGGATATTACTGGATGATTTATCTTGCTGGAAGAAAGTTTCAAAATGTATCAAAGAAGATATGGAAAAGAATTATAAAAGATCTTTAGAAAATTGGTATAAGAAAAACAAAAGGAAAGACAGAAGATTGAAGGAGATAGCATGGAATATTTCAATAAGGAAATGTGCTACAAAAGGATGGAGAATATTTACCAGTGATACAAGACATCACCATATATACACTACGGAGGAAATTAATAGCAAGGCCAAAGAAAACTTGGAAAACCTTCCGGTACCTACTCTCTGAAGGAAAGAAAATTACTCTTAAATTAAGGGAATGCCAAATTCATGTAATGCACATGAAAAGGTCCAAATTCGTCAATGAATAAAGAAGGATTATTCAAGATTATTTCATAATGAGGAGCTACAGCTAGAAGAGTAGTCTTATGGGTTATCTACAAGGAAAATTGGCAAAAGTTATGGAAATATGAGATGTTGAAGAATAAATTTTGGGTGCTCAAATAGAAAGAAAATATACAAGGATCGATGTTCAAGGCTATCAAAGAAATATCTTTGTTCAAGGAAAATCATTTATTATCTAAGGGAAATAATTTGATCAAGAAGATTCTAACACAAGGCTATTAAAGGAAGTATCAAGAATATAAAGGCAATTGTAATATGGCTTATAAAAGTCACGTGCATATATATTTACATACGAAGACTTGATGGCTTACATTGAAAGAATTTTTTATACAAAAGGCATTAAATAAAATGGCCTTGATTTTTGGAATTGTAAAGGAAAAAATCACAAATCTAAGTGAGGTCAAATCTGTACAAAATGACTTGTAGTATGTAAAGATCTCTTTAATGGATATTCATTTGTACTCAAAGGAAAGAGTAGTTTCTCTTTCAAAATCAGACTTAATCGAGATCATATTCAAAAGAGCAAAAAGCAGTAAAGGAAAGTTGGAGCAGCAGTAAAGGAAATCCTTTTCCAAAATTAGAAGACCGCTGCAACGGCTAGAATATTCAATGACCAAGTATAAAGGAGAAAGCACTTGCAACAGCAAACTCACGCAACCTTCTATACAATTATCTACCAACTACAAGTTCTTTATTCTACTCTTAACAAGCATTTGTAATTCACTTTTAGTAGATTCTCTGTGTACGCAAAAGAGAGAAGAGAGAGAGAAAAATATTGGAGAGACAGTGTGTTCTGAGAGGTTGTGTCATTGTTCGTTTATTTGGTGAGCGAGTGAAAACCAAAGGGTCGTTGTTGGTGAGCGAGTGAAAACCAACCCTGTAAACGTTTTGGGTGAACGTTGAAAATCACACAGGTTGTAGTTAACCCAAATTACAAAGAGCTCAAGAGATAACGTCCTTGCAGACCAAGGAGACTGGATTATGATACCACATTGGTTCCGATCCAGTATAAAATTCCTGGTGTTATTTATTTTATTGCTCTCATATTTTATTATACACCTTTACTGTTTGTTGAGAGTAGTACTTGTTTAAACTGAAGTACTAACAGTTTTGGTGCAGGTTGTCTCCGCATTAGTCGACTAGGTCTGAAGAGTAATCGACTAGAAATTTAAAAAGGCTACAAGTCACCCCTCTTGACTTTCAATATTATGACTTACTAACATCAGATTTTTAGAGCTAACTGGAAGTACACATGCAACGGCTTGATATATTTTTGGCCATGGGATTAATCGAAATTCTTAACAACAAAGAATATTCAGGAACATATGTGCTTGAAACATAATGCACGACAATATTCACCGCAACATATAAGGATATGAACGACCTATTACCACAAACTAAAATGCAAGTGGTGATAAGGTAAGTATGATGTACCAGCAAAGTGAACTATTGAGCTTTCTTAATGTATTCCAGTTGATTGTGTAAACAATGGCTTCATATCAAGTATGAGATTTAATTGCAGTGGAAGCGGAACACATTTTATGATTTTACTTCATTTGAAGTCTTTAGAACTAAGTTTTATGTCATTATGACTAGCTTAGGCATGATCCATATATCTGTAAGTTTTGATCACAAAGTTGACTACTTGGATAAGAAAATACAGTGTTTCCTGTAAATAGTGCCAGCTCAAGATGAGAATCTAGAAGTTCTCATTCACAAAATTTCCTGGCCATCTTGATGAGTTTCTTAGCACTAAGCATTGTTCTTTTCTCTGGTTGTAGTTGATGACGAAAAGGCTCATGGAAGGGGGGATTATTTATACAATAGGCTGAAGACAAGCATTGCCATCAAGATGGCCAGGAAATGGCAGCATTTTGCAGCCACTCAAAGGAAGAGGATTTCACTTCCAAGAAATGGCAATGATACAGACAGTTGTAGTACGTCTTCTTCCTTTATAGCCGGAAAAGACTAGTTTGTAGTTTATATAACTGATCAAAGGCGCTTTGTGATTCTATTGACTTATCTGCAAAATGAGGTCAGTTTGCAACTTTTAATTAAACATGCCTGAGGAAGAGTTCGGGCTGCAAGTGGAGGCCCTATTACATTACCATTTGCTTCAGCTTTCCAGGACTACATCGTTTCGCTAATCAAGAAAGGTGCAGTTGCTGGAGATCTTCACAAAGCATTTGCTCCTCACAGTTACTTCATGTTGTTGTTCAACTTCTTCTTTACACAAAGAATGGCGAAACCAGCAGCTTCTTGTTTATTGATTCATGATTATTATCTTTAGTGAATGATAGATCAAAACAGATTGTATAGAAGGTGAAAAACAGGCAATTGAAAGTATGTAGATGCAATAGAGTTTATCTGAATTTAACCAGATTTATAGCTTTCAAATTGGTGATTGAGGACTTTGAGATTCTCATTTTGGTCTGGCACTATTTACAACACACTTATTTTTTATCCGAATAGTCAAATTTTGTGATGACTCCATAGGTCATCTTATGTTTTAGAATCCAATTCTGTGTTTTGAAGACTTAAATACCTCATTTTAGCCCTCCTCGATTTGCGTGCGTAGTCCGGGTATTATTCCGGAGCTTTTCTGTTAAAAACTGATAAAAATATGAAATTTTTGGTTTGAAATCCATTTGAGTTGACTTCGGTCAACATTTTTAGCAAACTGATCCGGATTCATATTTTGACGGTCTCGGTGGGTCCGTATCATGATTTGGGACTTGGGCGTATGCCCAGAATCGAATTCGGAAGTCCCTTGCCCGAGTTATCGCGCTTTGCTGAAATTTGAAAGTTTAAAGGCTTAATGAATCTAAAGGTTTGAGCAATGTTTGACTTTATTGATATCGGGTCCATATTTTGGTTCCGGAACCCGGTATAGGTCCAATACTATATTTATGACATGTCTATCAAAATTTGGTCAGAAAACGGAGTTGGTTTGACGTGATTCGGATGCCTGGTTGTGAAATTATAAGTTCATGAATTTTCTTGAAAATTTTCTTTGATTTGATGCTTAATTCGTAGTTATAGGTGTTATTTTGGTAATTTATTCGCGCGAGCAAGTTCGTATGATATTTTTAGACTTGTCTTCATATTTAGTTTAGAGCCCGGAGGGCCCGGGTGAGTCTCAGATAGGCTACAGAGTGATTTGAACTTAGAAAAACATAGCTGGTTCCTCAGGTCTGTAGATCTCGCATTTGCGAGGACTTGATCGCAAATGCGAGGCTCGCAAATGCAAAGTCAGGCTTGCATTTGCGAAGAGGGAGGGGGCTGGGTAAGCTTAGCTTTTGCGAAGAGAAGCCCGCAAATGCGATGGGGGCAAGGTTTGCATTTGCGGGCAAATTGTCGCATTTGCGACTGGGATCAGATCAAGGTAGACTCGCATTTGCGAGTCAGAAGTTCGCTTTTGCGAAGGACCTTGGCTCGCATTTGGGATATATGTGTCGCATTTTCGAAGATAGCAGGCTCAGAGATTCTTCGCATTTGCGAGGAATTGATCGCAATTGCTATGATAGCAATTGCGATGTGTCGCAATTGCGATAACTGCAGGTGGGTAAAAGAAGGGAAAAACGGGATTTTTGTTCATTCTTCAAATTTTCAAAACAAGAAAACTCTAGAGGCGATTTTCCCAAGCACCCCTCTTCCCCAAATCATTGGTAAGTGATTCTAATCCATTTTCTTTCAATCTTTCACTACATTTCCAAAAATTTCAACCTAAAATCTTTTGTTTTCATGGTGGAAATTAGGGGTTTGAGTAGAATTAAGGATTTTTGTAAAATGGGATTTAGACCTCAAATTGAGGTCGAATTCCCAAAGAAATTACATAACCGAGCTCGGGGGTGAATGGGTAATTGGGTTTTGATCCGAATTTCGAGTTTGGACCAAGCAAGCCTGGGAGTTGACTTTTGTTGACTTTTTCAATAATGACCTAAATTGAATCTTTTGCAATCGTGGGTGATTCCTAAGGCTTATTTTGAATCGTTTGGTTGGTAATTTGCTAGATATTGTTGATTCGGACACTTGTTTGAAAGGCAAAGTTGTGGTTGAGCTTTGAGTGGTCTTTGGAGTGAGGTAAGTGTTGTGTATAAGCTTGACTTGAGGGAATTAGGAACCTTTGGAGTATGTGCTATGTGAATTTTATGTGAGCGGCGTATATGCGAGGTGACGAGGGCTTATACGCCGCCGAATTATCTGTCTTTCCTGATTTTCCGCTTGTTCTTAATTATTTCCTTCCATGTCTTAACTGTTATATGCTCTAGATGCTTTCCATGCTTAACTGCTACCTGTTAATCAATGTCTTCTCCTGTTAATGATGTTAGATCTTTTCATAGTTTCATGATTCCCTGCTATTTGCTTAAATC